CCCCAAAACCCCAAAACCCCAAAACCCCAAAACCCCATCACTTATTTAATTTTAAAATTGATTGAAATTACAATTTAATAAAAACAATTAAAAATGAGTGGCAAGTGGTGTACAATCGAATCAGATCCAGGTAAATTCCTTGAAATTATTAAGATTTTTTCCATATTTATTAATCTGGAGTCTGAGCAGTGTTATAGGTGTATTCACAGAATTAATGAGGCAAGTAGGAGTTAAAGGAGTTTAAGTCGAAGAACTTATCACCCTTGAAGATGATGAACTTAACCAAATTAAGTAATTTACCGCTTAACTTTAATATCATTTTAGGCCTATTTATGGACTTATCTTCTTATTCAAATGGATATAAGAAACTGAAAAGAGAGAGACTTTAGTTGAATATGATCCTGAACTATTCTTTGCTAATTAAGTGATCAATAATGCTTGCGCTACTCAAGCCATTTGCTCTATTCTCATGAATAGGACTAAAGACATTGAAATCGGAGATGAGTTAAAGAACTTGAGAGAGTTTTCTCTTGAGATGAACGCAAAAGACAAGGGATGGGCTATTGGTAATTCTGAAGTTATAAGAGTAGCTCATAATAGTTTCTCAAGGTAGGAGCCATTTGAGATAGAATAAGATGTGAAAGGGGGAAAAGAGGAAGATGCTTTTCACTTTATCTCATATCTTCCATTTAATGGATAACTTTACGAACTTGATGGACTCTAAAGTGGACCTATTAGCTTTGGGCCATGCACTGAGGAAAACTGGTTATCTTAAGCAAGGGAACAAATAATGAAGAGAATAGCTAAGTATGAATCTTCTGAAATCAGATTTAATCTTCTAGCTGTGATTGCTGATAAGAAAGATCAGGCTGAAAAAGAATGCAACAGATTAAAGCTTATCAGAAACTTCTTAATGAAGCAATTAGGCCATGAGTAAGATGAAATCATGGAGGATTTGAGTTCAGTAAAGACTGAGATCGATGAATTATCAAAGTAAAACCAAGAAACCATGTAGGCAAGTCTTAATGAAATTAATCAATCAATTTTGAACCAAGAAATGAAGATCCAAAATGAAATTGAAAGAAATCAAAGATGGAAAACCGAAAATGAAAGAAGAAAGCATAACTATGTTCCTTTTGTTCTCGAACTGTTACAATAATTAGCCAAGAAAAATATGCTTGAAGGATTGTTTAAAGATGCAGTAGAGAAAAAGAAGAAGAAGCAGGAGGAAAAGAAAGCATCTAAAACTGGAGGAGCAAAGTGAAGAATTAATGTATGATTGGCTAATTGATCATTTATGTTTTAATTTATCAATCTTAAATAGATATGAACTTCGGGGTTTTGGGGTTTTGGGGTTTTGGGG